TTTCCGCAATAAAAAAGTACTCGTCTATATATCATGCATTTCATACATATTAATCGAGACAAAATATTGCCCGGATCCACTTTTCCCTGAGTTTTCATTTTCTTTGCGATGATTCTGGCTGGGACCCTGTTTTTTATTAGCTTTCTTGGTATTGCGAGTTCCAGGAATCACGTGGATCCTTGTAAGAGCTTGCAATTTCTAAGCTGGATCTGGCTGAGCCGCAAAAACTAAAGCGTAAAATTTAGGGGAGTTCCGCCATCCAGTTGCCGGGCCTTTCATCAGGCTGAACGAAGCTTTTAAATATGGGGATAAGCTGGATATAATTTTCTTCACGCTCGAGCAGGTGTAAGGCAAATGTTGCTTCGCGTACACCCCGCTTCGGCTTGGCTTAGGCCTCGCGTATGCTTAGCTTAGACCAAGCTTAGATCTAGCTTTGCTTAGCCTAGGTTTAGCTTAGCCTTAGCTTAGGATTAACACTCCATACCGTATCTTCAGATTCGAGGTCTTCATCGCCGAATCCCCTGACCTACATGGCCAGATCAACGGCTACCGTATCTTTCGGCCACTCGAGGCGCCTTTTATCAAAACCCTTTAATAAATATTTTTAGGTACGCATCGAAAGAAAGAGCAAAAAACTGATCCTCACGCAAGATACCGGCAACTATGGGGTTCGAAAACGCCAAGATCTCAAAATGAAGGTTTTAGATACCCGCTCCTGCACCCAGAGAGTGCACCTTTTCCGAGTATGAATGGGTGAAAAATTTGGGAAGCTATGTCGGGCGACTGACGATAGTGTGAGAAATTTTGGGAATTGAATTTAAAAAACGATTTTAAAGCTGGTGGCTTGACCGCGGGTTCGAAATTACACTTGATTGGATGGAGGGGAACAAGCTGTTGCATTGCAAGTATTCAGCACCTTCGTTCCAGACAACGCCACTGTATGTTGCGGTACGACTTAGAAGTTCTTGAGGACCCTTAAACATTTTGAGCGCTTTAACAAAGTTCGGGAAATACAGAACATTTATTCGATTTTAGTCCCCAACGGCTGCCACGATGTTTGTTAAGCACACAAGGGTTAAAGTGAGCGCTTTCCGCTAGCTTTTTCTTGATTTTGCATCATCGTGACTTCCGATTTTTTTTGTAGAAGCTTTCACAAACCTTCCTGGCAACCCGAGGCGCAAAGACTCCGCCGCTCAACATGGAACAAATTCGGAAAGAGGTCAACCGGAGGATGAAAGAAGAAGTATCTAGTAGGTCATTCAAATAGCATCAGTCTTTATGATTTTTCGTAGTTTTTTGAAAATATTTTTGGAGTAATACCGGTTATGATGTAGTTGCTGCTTCGCCGGCTTTCCCCACCCGCGATCTCATTTCGACTGAGCATGACACCCGCGAGAACGGCACAATCGTCATCTGTCTATGGGACATCACCCCGATGGACGGGCGGCGAACGTAAAAAGCTATTTCTCTTTTAAGGTCGGCATTTTTAGATTCTGGATCATCAACGATCGGCCACCATTTGACGAAAAACTCGACCGCGACTTCAACATTGGCATCGAGATCGACACTCTGGATGGAACGTTGTACTTGGGATATCGTAGCGATGTAATTGTTTGGTTTAGTCGTGTCCCTAGTACTCGTAATCGTATTCTAACTTTAAAGGAACAGCTTGGAATTTTAGAACGTTGATCACCCAATGTTCACGCGTCGCCTGGAAGCGCAGCGGGACGGCACCTACGATCTCTGCTTCCATTTTGGCACTAGAATGTATGGGGTTGAAAGGGAGAGACGGTTTTTGCACCACTGATTCTGCTTTTTTCAGTTCTCTAGGGACCGGAACTGAAATGGGGAAAAATTGCGTCAAAGGTCACGATCATGACTAGGCTTAGGCTTCCAAAGGAAATGCAAATAGGCGTCCAAGCTTACAATTAGCAAAAATATGGGTCTGATAGGGTCGTCAGCGGCGACTTCCTTTTCGCTTGTTAGAGTTTAGGGGCTCGATTCTTTCTAAAACAAAAGAAAGAATAACCTTTTCATTTTCTCATCAAGTTCGAAAATTCACAATTAAACAATTTATCTGGATCAAACACTGTGAATGATCATAAATTAAGCCTATATTCTTAGTTACAAAAAGTACCTCACCCATTGGCGGATGTTACGTTGGCTCGGCACCGGATTATTCCGGGAGGTACGTGTTTAAAAACTCCGTGAAGTTTCGATGCTTAGGAAGACCTCGTGAACATCCAAGGCAAAAGCATGCCACCGGAGAGCCTATCCGTTCGGAATTAATTTTTATACTTTTTGGTTAATTGTTTAGTTCCAAGGCAAATTCGGTAAGAGTGCTACCAAGGTTGCTGTGGGGTATGGCAAAAATTCTGGCTGGGTAAAGTTAGTTGATATTTGCACGCTTTTGATACTTACAGTACCCGGACACGCCCACAAAGGACATTCTGAAGTGGTACGATTCGCCGGAGACCGAGTGGAGTCATCAGTTTGTCACTATATTCGAGGGGGATATTTTTTCAGAAATAAGTTTGCGGATTATCTGGAGAAGAGCCTGCGCGATTATATACATCGCTAAATTGCAACTATCCTTATGGGCTTGTGCATACACTGTTGTTGAAAATAAATCGTGGAAATGTCTTGTATCTTGTATGTTTTTTATGTTGTATCCGACCAAACATGCGTAGTCTGCGATTCCCTAAAGCCCATGCCACAAGCTTTATTGCATAACCTCTATAATATTTGAAACGATTAAAACCATCATCATCGACCGTAAACTATAATATAATCGCCCCGATTTTTTCAATTTCATTTGCAATTCAAGCAGCCGGAACCTTTCGGCTAGGCATTCCAAAAGTTTTGAAACTCTATTGCGCGCTGATGCTGCGGTGGCTGGTACTTATTATTTACTGGAAGTCAGCGTCGTCCGGAACTGTGGAAGATGAGTGTAAGCTTGAATTCGATTCAATTAGGGAAAATATTGCTAGATTTCCATCGCAGGGCCCATCTGATGCAGGGTCCTTTCTTTCGAATCCCCGAGTCTAACCGCCGAAGCGATATCATCGAGTTTTTCTTCTTTACCCATCATGTTGAGTGAGTGGCATAAACATCTTAACTTCAAGCAAAACTTGGAAAACTTTAAGTTGACCCGGGGTAGGCTTAGGCTTAAGCTAGAGTGTGGGCCTAAACTCTAGGTTGAGGCTTAGACTGGGCTTAGGACGAGCTCTCACCCATCGTTTTCCCTAGGGTCGAAATCGCGCTTCTCGAGAAGCCATGGAACCCTAGCTATTCCACTGATCCCGTTCCCATCTATATCCACATCCGGAAGTCAGACATGTCGATCCGGCTGAGCCACCGCAACGAAATGAACGTAGGAATCTCAATAAGTCATTTACGCGACTAAAAACATCAAACTCGAAACAACCAAACTTGCTTTTAGCAGCAGTTTAATTCCATGGTTACACACAGAATCAACAGCTACCCGTACTTCAATGAATGTCATTGTTACGCCTTTAAATTGTCGATCGCGTGGGTGATTTGTTACTTTTATTAAAGGTCAAAATTCCCATGGGATCGAAGAAATTCAGAAATGACAAGGGTGTGTACACCGTGAGCGGAAGTATCCTCAACGCGCCGCTGAGTTACGCTAAGCAGGGACCCAGAGGCAGTAACTATTTCCTAGGCGTGGGTTTTTAAACGCCTTAAACATTGTCTCACCAGGGGAGCGCGCATAAACCCCGACTCAGAATTGCATGAAAATTTGCACGCAGATGGAATCGACCATGCTGATCATCACCGCGTTGTCCAAATTTGCTACTGATCTTTAAAACTGGAGATATGCTACTTTTAAAGCCATCCTTTAGTTAAAACAAGCTTCGAGCTCGATTATTTTGATCATCCGGGACAATTTTGTAAAAATAAATTTCGCCATCGTATTCAAGAAACTTTTCTCTAGTGAGTCAGCCTACTAACTCAAAATTTTCGAAAACCCGAAAAATTGGAAAAATTGACGACCAACTTCGATTTTTCTATGGGAAATAGTGAAAAACAGCCGACTTCAAACATTTGTAAGACGTCGGCTAGATGAAGCCTACCTTAATGAAATATACCCATTCGAATCAGAAAAAATTCTCTATCGGATAGCCTACTTCAAATAAATTAGAACTTTAAAATAAAAAAACGGCGTCATAGCAAAACACTTCTCAGGCGCGAAAAACGACACTAAAACTTCAATATCTTTTTCTTTCTTTTCTTTTTTTCTTTATCTTTCAGTTTTAAAGATTAGTAGCAAATTTGGACAACGAGGCGATGCTCAGCATCGTTCATTCTATCTGTGCGCAAATTTTCAGCCAATTCTGAGTTGATAATAATTCGGGGTTCTTGAGAACCAAATTCGAGCTTCCCTAGTCAGGTTAATGAACTAAAGTCCATCTTTGAGCCATATAAAATCTTGTTGTTTTCAGTTCAACCAAGAAGGAATTGCGGCTGCGTTTCACACGGCACCGGTAGCTCTATGGGTTCAAAGGTGAATCAGAATTTTTCTTACAGAATAAACGCCGTGTCCCTTACATGATGACAAGAGGCGTTGAGACCCCAGTTGGACCCAGCGAATTCTATGCAAATTTTATTAACGACCGCCTGGAACCAAAACATAAGTGTTGGTTTTTACGCATAATTTTAGTATTTAAGAAGGCTACGTTCAACGCTTGAGGTTATCTGCTATCAGTAATAGTAACTCTCATGACAATCCTTTTACGTTTAAAGCGATTTTTGAGCTACAATACGTTCTAAGCAGGGTTGGTCATTTTTGACCCGGACCCGGACCCGGTCCGGACCCGGGGGGTCCGGGTCCGGGTCCGGACCCGATCAAATTTGCATGGGTCCGGGTCCGGGTCCGGGTCCGGGTCCGGGTCCGGGTGGGTCCGGGTCATTTGCATGCCGATTTCTGGATAAATTCCACGATATTGCACGACATTTCTCACGTCTGCTAACTTCGGATGGGGGCGCCATCCGACTCGTCCGAAGACAATTCGGGTGATGACGATGAGGAAACGAGCCTACTATCGCCCACCCCTACTGGCTGGGATAAGCAGACGATCAGTCGATTGTTAGAAGCCAAATCGACGACCCTGATTATGGTATGTTCCCAAATAGAAAGTTGTTGAATATATGATTTTCAGGATACCAGTCGCGGGGATCAGTTTCACGGCATATTAATCAAAGACGGACAAGAGACAAAATCGACGGGATTCTTTATGTGTTCGCTTTGCAAGTTGCTGTTGGGGAATATTGAAGGCGGAAACAAAGCGTAGTATATACCACCTTAACCGAGATCAGACACAGGCGCCACTCGAGGCGTTGTTCTGGGGCCAGTTCCAGCCTTCTCGAAGTTCGAGGTATTGATGCTTTTTCCATTAGAAATTGGAGCTCAGGACCAACACGTGAGCCCACAGCTGCGGAGCGTCAGATTATATGTGACGCGGTGATCGATTACTTTCTTGCCAGTGGAAGGCCGTATGCGGCGGTAGATGACGATGACTTTCGAGAATTAATTGCGAAGGTGGCGGCGGCAAGGTGGTCTCGATTCACTGGACAATTACTAACGTTTTATCAGCGGCCACCTCGACCAGGAAATGGTCGCGAAGCGACTTATGCGTCGGAAGAGCCTGTTGCGCCATTTGACGATCAAATTTGATCAACTATTCCATAAAATCGAGACTCGCGTAGGAGGCTGAAGCCTAAAAATTTCGCTAATTTAGGTCTCCGATGAGATCCGGCGTGGCAACGGATCCATATTGATTGACGGGGTGGATCTGCACGGCGACAAGTTTTTGGGCATTATGTTTGCCTATCCAGCCGAACAGAACGGAAGACTGGCGCCAAAATTGCTGCCGGTTGGCTTCGAGGCCGTTTCCGGCGAAACTGCAACCCAGGTGCCTCTGAATGCATCTGAATGCATAAGCGCACAGCTATTTCGATGACTTTGGGGACCCCCAGGTATGGCTTCAACTAATTCGTTCTCTAGCCTTTCCTAAGCATAATCCAAGGTTTTACCCCTTTCCTTCCAGACAGATGAACTCACTTGCTACCTCGAGGCCAAAGTCAACCAAATACCCGATATCGGCTCCTACTGGCTCGATCATCGCCAAGACTTCCCCCGGCTCTCCCACTTGGCCAAACGGATGTTGTGCGCACTCTCCAACGAAGCGGCCGTCGAGCGATATTTTAGCCTAGTTAAACACTGTATTACCACCGATCGTAACCAATTGTCACCCCGTAACGCCAGGAATGTCGCAATTTCTCGTTATTTTTTTGCAAATAATTGCCAAGATTTGTGATTTGATGCTCTGGTCTCGACTCCTATATACCTGAATCATACCGGATAAACCATTATAATTAATGCCGTTGTCTTTTTCCGAAGAAAATTAGAATCTTAAATCTCTATCTCAAATAAATGCAAATACGCTACTTCCGGACCCGGACCCGGACCCGGACCCGGACCCGGACCCGGACCCATGCAAATTTCTGCGGGTCCGGGTGGGTCCGGGTCCGGGTCCGGGTCCGGGTCCGACCCGGGTCAAAAATGACCAACCCTGGTTCTAAGTCAACTTCCCGCCCCATTTCTACATCAACCATCGCGTTGTTTTCAACACGGCCGAGAAAATTTACAATATGACATTTGCGGTCTGCGTGTGGAACGTAACCCCGCTGCCTGGACGTACAAGGTAGCGTCGCATACTAAAGGTGCACTAAAAAATCTAATTCTTCAGTTTCTGGATCGTTAACGACTCGCCTCCATTTGATGAAAAAATGGAACGAGACCACAATATCGCTTTTCATTTGGACCTGAAGCGCTGGACGGCGACGATGAGTCACCGGTTTGATGTAAGGCGCAGGCTTGAACTTATAGGTATACTCAGGCTTAGTCTAAAGCTTTGGCATGGACTTTGCTCAGACTGAGGATTAGTGTTGCGGAGCGCCTTCGAGCGCCCCCGCCTTTTCCCTTCGCTCCCCGGCCCCTCGCCTATCCAGTGCCCTTTCCACCGTAGCGGGGTCTCTCTCCCCACTGGGCCAGCGATGGCATTTATTTCCCCAGTTCCAAATCAGTTCTAATTTCTCCTCCTCTTGCCGCCATGTCGCTCACCGAATAAACAGTTGTTCGTAAACTGTTCGTCCCGCTGCGCACCACACTTTGGCAAGACACAACAACTGGCGAGCAGGAAGTACGACATTCACGCAAGGAAGGGAGTTCACCAAGCTGGCCCCGACTACCCGTGCGAAATCGAAACAAGTTGAAGCCGACGAGCAAGTCATGGAGCAAGCCCTTCAAAATGTGCTACAGCAACTGATGGAAAGCCAGCGTGAGCAGAGAGAAAGGGATACGGCCGCCCACGACCTCCAGATCAAGCTGATCACGGAGCAGATGGCCGCGCTGATGAGCCAAGTCACCGCCCCAGTCAAGCACGAGCCCAAGGAGGAAGAGAACGCGAACAAGGCGCGTCTACAAGCGCTGCGCGACTCGATTTTGGCCCGAGTGCCGAAGTTTTCGTTTGATGAGGACAAGTCGACGTTCGAACTGTGGCATGAACGCTATGGTCCGATGCTCGAGAAGGATGGCGCCGAACTCTCTGAAGAGGATCGTTCTCGGATGTTGATCGAGAAGCTGGACGAGGCCGCGTATGACAGGTTCACAAAATTTATCCTGCCCAAGACCACAAATGAGCTGAAATACGCTGAAATTGTGGCGTTTCTGCTCAAGATCTTCGTGCCATCGAAGTCGCTGATCGCCCGCGGTTACGAATTTTCCAAAATGAAGTTTGATGGTGGCGACGTCGAGGATTTGGCCAAGCACGTCGATCAGCTCAAGTTCGCCTACGAAAAAGCCAAGATGCGCGACATCAAGGAGAATGAAGTGAAAGTCCTTTCACTACTTCTTTCGCTTTCTGGCAGCGAACACGAAGCAACGCGAAGCCAAATACTTCGAAGGATGGAGGAAAAGCCCGAGTCGACACTGAACGAAGTTTTCGACCACATTCGCCACTTCGTGACGAGGAAGAAGGACGCGAATTTGGATAGCAAGGGCGCGTTGGCCGCGCACGCCGTCACCGCAAAGCCGCCCTATGCACCCCGCCCTTTTCCCGCCCAAAAGAAGCCCGGCGCCCGCGCACCAACGAGGCCCTGCAAGCACTGTCAAGGCGCCCACTGGGATGCCGACTGCCCGGGACGCAACAAGAAACCGCAAGGACAGCCGAACTTCACCAAGAGAAAGTTCGCAAGGCCCGCGCACACAAATGTCGTAATCGTTGGTTCTAACCTTTCTTTGGACCACGAATCTGATCGTTTATTTCTAGATGTTGCGATCAACGACAAGGTGCTGAAGATGCGAGTTGATACGGGCGCCGACATCACGATCATCAGCAAGAAGGATTGGACGAGGCTCGGATCGCCCGCGCTCAAGTCCACGGATCTGAAGATGAAGGCAGCGAATGGCGAAGCTATCAAGGTCCATGGCAACTTCAACTGCAAGTATGTGATCGACAAGAAGGCGATGTTCGGTGTGTGCCACGTCGTCGACGGCTACACGCTATTGGGCCTCAATTGGCTCAAGAACACGAATGCGATGGATGCATTTCGTCAAATGCTAAAGCCCGATACCATGGAGGTGTTGGCAATCGACGCCGAGAAGGAGGGTGATTTCGCAGCACAACTCAAGCTGGAATTTGCCGATGTCGCGCAAGATGGACTCGGTAGCTGTAAGAAGTTGGAGGCTCGACTACAATTGAAGCCCGACGCTGTGCCCAAGTTCTGCAAGGCCCGACCGGTGCCTTTTGGCGCAATGCCCGCTGTTGCAGCGGAGATCGATCGTTTGGTGGGCACTGGAGTGCTAAAACCTGTTGAATTTTCTCAATGGGCCGCCCCGATCGTTGTCGTCAAGAAAAGTTCTGGATCAATGCGAATGTGTGCTGATTTCTCGACCGGATTGAACAACGCGCTCGAGTCAAATTGTCATCCACTTCCTACAGCTGAGGAAATCTTCGCCCAGCTTAACGGAGGAAAGTACTTCACGCAAATGGATCTCGCCGAGGCTTATCTACAAGTGCCCGTTGATGAGGATTCCAAGGAGTACGTGACGATCAACACGCATCGAGGACTTTTCCAGTATCAACGTCTGCCTTTTGGAGTCAAGACAGCGCCCGCCATTTTTCAAGGCATCATGGACCAAGTCATCAATGGTCTCGAGGGGACAGCTGCGTACCTGGACGATGTGATCGTTATGGGCAAGACGAAAGAGGAACATGATGAACGAGTGAGAGCAGTTTTTCGACGACTGCAAGCGTTTGGATTGCGAGTGAAAATGGAGAAGTGCCGATTTGCGCAAAGGCAAATCAAATTCCTCGGTTTCCTGATCGACCCTGAAGGACGTCGACCCGACCCGGAGAAGATTGCCGCCATCAAGCACATGCCCACGCCGCAAAATATAAGCCAATTACGCTCATTTCTTGGAATGATTCAATTTTATGGTAATTTTGTTCGTGAGCTGTCCTCATTTCGCCATGTTCTCGATGATGTGACAAAAGAAAAAGTCACTGTGACAAAAGAAAAAGTCACTTCGACAAAAGAAAGAGTCGAAACCACGAGAAAAGAAAAGGTCGTGGCCGAGAGAAAAAGCTAGTCTGTTTTCCCCCCACTGCCTATCCGGTGACCCAGTGACCGTAATCCACCCCAGTTCAAATCACTCCGGATTACGTGTCGTAATGCCTTCCCACTCATGGGATTTTCTCCCTAAAATTATCGCTCTAATCCTTTTTATCCTGAAGCTCTATCGAATAAACTTCTAACGTTTATTCGATACAAGTTATCCATCAAGCACAAGAGGCAAGCACACTCGCGGACACAACAACTGGCGATCAAGGATTCCGAACTCACGCAACATCAGGAAAAGCCCAAGCCAAGAAGCAGCCGCTCAAGCCGCCGCCCAGTCAAGGACAAGTTGGTCAAGCAGATGTGGATCAAGCGCAAGGACAAGAAACTCTACATGGCAAAGAAGCAGCGTCATCCCATGGAGGATTCGATTAAAAGGGAAGTCTTTTTGCCCCTATTTGGCCTTCGCACTTTCATGTGCCCGGATCGCGTGGCCATGCCCGTCGACAAGAAGGACCAAGTCGAAGCGCGCCGTCTTCGCCCTCAAGCGCAAGAAGGAAGGAAGGATGTCTCCAGCCAAGGACGACAAGAAATGCAGAGAAGGCCACGACGAATGGGTCAACTACGCGGCATCCGGCTGCCGCTCGCCCACTGGAACTCCGTCAAGGCCGGCCGCGACTTCTTCAAGGAAAGAAGAAAAAGACCGCGGTGTCTTTTCACGTTGGAAAAGCCCGCGGCAACGTCCGGCCGTTTATAGCCGTTGAAAGACCGGGACGCCGACTTTTCTGAAAAGTCCCCGGCAACGACCGGCCGTTTAGAGCCGAGAAAGACCGGTGCGCCACTACCGAGTGCCGCCGGCCGATGGTACACCTCTATGGAAGAGGCCCGTCGTTTAAAGACCGGGAAGCAGACTTTTTTGAAAAGTCCCCGGCAACCTCCGACGGTTGATAGTCGAGAAAGACCGGCCCGCCACTACAGCGAGCGGCCGGCAGATGGTACACCTCTATGGAAGAGGCCTGTCTTGGAAAGACCGGAAAGCCGACTTTTTTGAAAAGGCGCCGGCGACGTTACGGCCGTCTGTAGCCTGAAAGACCGGGACCCAGGCTTTTCTGAAAAGCCCCCGGCAACCTCCGACGGTTTGTAGTCGAGAAGACCGGCGCGCCACTACAGCGAGCGGCCGGCCGATGGATTTCACCTCTACGGAAGAGGCCCATCGCGAAGACCGGGTCTGATGCAGCAGCTCGGCGGACGGTGCCCCAGCGAGCCCGTCGACATGGAGCGGCAAGATCAAGCTCATCAGTCCTGCACGAGGGAAGGAGGCGTGCCCGCGAGTGCCGTCTTCCTTGGTCAAGCACCGCCGAACGTTCTGAAGGAAGGAAGGAAGGAAGGAAGGATGACCGTCGCCCACGCGCGCGCCAATTAATAAAGGAAAAAGCAAATAAGTTTGACTTGTTTTACGTTGTGATTTGATCCTTCGTCTTGCTGTACGCAGTTGTACATTTTCCGTTGGTGTCTCCTCTCCTATTCACATTTCCTTTCTTTTTCGTTTTGTACAGGGGGAGGTGTTGCGGAGCGCCTTCGAGCGCCCCCGCCTTTTCCCTTCGCTCCCCGGCCCCTCGCCTATCCAGTGCCCTTTCCACCGTAGCGGGGTCTCTCTCCCCACTGGGCCAGCGATGGCATTTATTTCCCCAGTTCCAAATCAGTTCTAATTTCTCCTCCTCTTGTCGCCATGTCGCTCACCGAATAAACAGTTGTTCGTAAACTGTTCGTCCCGCTGCGCACCACACTTTGGCAAGACACAACAATTAGGCTTAGACCTAAGCTTACCAAAAAATGGCTCCGTTTCAGAACCGGGACATCGATTTGGTGACCCGTTCATTGCCCGAAGCGCATGACGGGAAGCTGGAGGAGCTGTGCTTCAATTTCGGGATTCGAAGGTAAAAGCACTTCCGGACCCGAACCTGCGCATTTTCAGATTTACCGATGCCTTGTCCGCCTGGACAGCTGACGGTATTTTCAGCACGCCGGGGCACTATTACAAGTTGCGGGAACCGCGCCGGCCGGCACATTATCTTTCGGTAGGTTTGCAATCGAATGGATTTTAGGCTTAAACCTAGGCCTTACAAAGGCTAAAACCTCTTCTAAGGCAAAACCAACCCCTTTCCTAAGAATTTTGCCCAAGCCAAAGTCAGGCCTAAGCCTAAGCTGAAGCCCATCAGACCTAGGCAGACGCGTAGGTGTATATCTAGGTCCAAGCCGAAGCCTCATCGCTTTTCAGTTCCAAGGAGACTTCTCACCCGGCAAGACCAAGGCTGCGATTGCCTGGTATGAGAACGGGAGGGTAGGAGGCATATATAAAATACGCCTTTAACCAGCACTTTAGCGTACGTTGCGTGATATTAAAGGCTTAACCTATCAATTCTACCCGGATGACGATGTAACGCCGAAGGATGTTGGGTGAGTCACGTATTTGATGCTAAAAGTTCTTGGATTGGAAATTTTTGATATTTACGCTATTTTCCGCGGTTATTTCGCCACCCCCAAGATGCCTCATAGGCCGCTGATCAAGCACTGGTTGCGAAAAAACTTCTGCCCCGAGGGCTACGAACCGGCCATCTTTCCGGGCAGGCAGCCATACCGCAAGATGAAAGGGGCGACTGGGGAAGGGAATCGAACGTTTCCCGATACAAATTTTCTCGAACTTGAGCCAGGAACGTGATGAGTTTGAGCCTTGATAATAAAGTGTTAACTTGTTGTGTAATAACTAATTCGCGTTTATTTTGTATATATTGGATCAGTCAAAGTACTTTCATCATCAATAAACATGTTTTATTTCCCAGCAGCATTGGCCGTGCCTCGGGTCGGCTGCGATTTGCTTGGTCTGGTTCCATCGCTCACTAGGTAATCTGAGGATCGTCGGATTTGGAAGAGCTTTGGCAGGCGCATACGGTAGGCCCAAAAATGATTAAACAATTTTATTAAGTCATTATACCTTAAAAAGAACGAGCACCATGATCGCGTCCGAGCTAGAATATCCAGCCAAAAAGAGCGGGGCGCGAGACCTAAAATCATAGGATGAAATAGTTTTAAAGCAAGAGTGAAACGCAAATAATAAAAACACCTAGATATACAAGTCTAAATCTGTAAAAAGCAAAATACAAAAATACCGGTAGTGCCTTCAACTAGTAAAATCACAAAAGCCGGAATAAATTCATAAATTACAGGAGCTGCCGGAATTTTCTTATTTCCTGGTACCACCAAGATCAAAGCCTTACCTAATCCCTGCCGGATTTTTGTATTTTTTTTGTCGAAAAGTCCATCCTTTCATTCATCAGCTGACAGAAAAAATTCAAGCACTCAATTATGCGTCCTTCCGCTGCCCGAATTTTGTGATGAAGATCATCGGCCGCCTCATCGTAAATTCCTAGGCCTGAATCGGCCGCCCACCACGATGCCAAGGATCGAGAATTCTTCCGCATCAGCTTTAAAAACCTCAGGGTGGACTCAACATTAATGTTTAGAAAAAAGCAAGCCTAGCGATCCCGGCAAAATGCAGAAAATGTAAATTGTTTTTTTGAATGGTCGATGCAGTTTTTCCGTCGAGATGATCCCTAAAATTGTCTTCCGCCTTCAAACGCCATCTAGGCACGTTCCAGGCTCTCAACATTTACGAAATTTTCGAGAAAAAAATTCCCATTGCTATTCCCTTTCCCGTGCCAAAATACGAGCGGAACGAGCCCGTTTAGGAGTACAATGCGGGGACCTAGAATCTGATTTCCTGAGCCCCCGATGCTCCCCCCAAGAAGGCGCACGTTCCGATGTGATGGACACTGGACGAAAATATTTTGGTCTCGCGGGAAGTTCGAAGTGTTGCTAGTGTGAAGTGAATTCCCGCCTTTAGGGTATTTAGAGCTTTGCACTTGTTCATTGTTTTTCGCGGTATTTGAAGCTAGACTTTGAATCATTTCTGAAAGTTAAGCTAGCGGAGTAATTTGGTGAATTTTGCTAGATTCCTGATGCTAAGAGTCTATAAAAATCGTGCTAGGGAAATCTCCGTTTATCATCCACACCTGAAGCCTTACTTTTGCCAGGATTTTTAAAAGCCAGCCAAGGTTCTTGGAGAATTTTCCTCGATTTCTCGGACTTTGCAGGGATTGCCGCAGTTCTCTGCTTATTTTTTACAATTGGAAAAGCTTATCAAACTGTTTGCAAGGACACACTAGCAACGTTTCTTCAAGGTTTGTGCTCCACTTCCTAGAATTAGCCTCATAAAAAGCTTTGCACTTCTTCAGAGCTTTTCATCATCGCCGTAGGCTTATTTTTGAAGCAATTCGAAAGGGGCAAGCTCGCAAAGTCCCTTCGCGAATTTTCAAGACACCAAGCTGTTCTAGCGACAAATAAATTTTCCCTACACTAATTGGCAGGGGCAAATTGCCGTAGGCTCTATACCTAGAATCATGTTTTTATGGCTCAGATGCCCCACTCCCACACCACCACCTCCTTCTCCTCCTCCATTCTGAAATCGGAGCATCGTCGTCAGAAATTCCGCCTCCGGTGGCCCAATTAGCCCTTCTCGCTGCTAGAGCCTCGGGTATTGGCCATGGCTTCAAGACCCCCGAGCCGGCTTAACCAAACGGCTATTCATCTTTCCCCGAAAAGTGCCCGATTTTAGATAGGGGGTGAAAAGCCTGGACGATGAAGAATGGTGAACACCGAGAATTTGGGCGTGGGCGGTGGTTATTCAGTGCTATTTGGGGTCGTCATGAATCCTGGACTTTGAGCCCGATTTGGGTTTTCGGGAGCTGGAGTGCAAAAGAAAAACATCAAAAAAACAGCAAAAATTTTTTTGTAATATTCTATACTACACAACTACTAGAACGACATATTTACTACTGCCGCCTTAAAACATCGAAAAACTGTTGGATGGTTCTATTTGAAGGAGGCAGGAATCGGCGGAATTTACTAGTTTTGTACTGAAAACATTTCCTTTAAAGTAAAGTTAGTTGAAAATATTTACATCACAAAAATAAATACTTCGAAATGCTTTTTGGTCTGAAAAACCTAGACAAAAATTTTTATGTTATTTGGAAGATTGTAGCAGGCAAGTAATACCCAATTTAGACTTCGATGGCGCAGTTGGTGTTAGAAAATGTATTGTTTACTACCGAATCAACCTTGTCCGCCTCCCGTTACACGACGAAAAACAGGAAAACCTTTATTCAAACTCAAAAAGAGCAGATATAAAAAACGTAAACCGGCCATACGGGGAAGGGAGCCATACGACAGTCAACGCGACGGTCATAGCACAAACTTTGTACTACAGACCACAAAAATCCAGGGGAGGGAAGGGGTGGGGGTAAAGCGGTGGTATTGTTGAGCCGGGGTCGCACTGTTAAAGTTGGATAGTGAATAGGAGATGGGAGGTTTTGACAGGTCTTCCGTTTTGGATTGTTGGATCATGGCAGAGACGAGATCGGGGTTGGAGGAAAGGGTTCTAAAATGGCCTTAAAAATTAAATCGGAGAAGCTTACGCTTAATTATCCAAATCGGACCGACGAGGCCCAGCTATTTGCCGCCCGCTTGCCGAATCGGACCTAAAAAAAAATATTTTAAAAGCTGATCGATCACCGAAGCCCAAGCCTAGGCCTAAGCCTAAAATACCTGAGTTGCCCATCGCTTATACATCAACGGCATCTGGTCTTCCGCTGTGTTTTCCGGGTCCTGAAAAATATTTATTACATTTTTTCTAGTCTTCAAAATTTGGAGGCTTGATTCCTTTTTATGTTCCAGTTTCCCATTGTTTTCGCCGGCTGCTCGAGGAGTATTTTGACTAATCCTCGCCATTGAGGATGGGAAATTTAATGGGGGTCTGACCATTGGTATTGCTGGCGAATTCTTAGAATTTACCGGTTGATTTGTGAGCTAATTTTTGCAGAATCTCGTCAAGAGGGGCAGCCAAATTTATAAAAATTTGGGGCGTTCAGCGGTTCAAGAACAGCCACCGTTTCCATTTTTAGCGCCTCCCGATTCATCCTTATAAATTTCTGAAAAGACAGCCCCGAAATGGCACGTCAGAACAAAAACGCCGGTGATTTGCGACCAAAAATAGCCCCACCATCACGCCACGGGGGTTGCAATTTGCTCCAATTTGACCCCCGGAGAACTGCGATGCCTCAATTTGTGATTCCGGATTTTTTATTCACCTCCCGACTGGCTCGCTGATTTCATCCATCAAAAATTCGGGACCGGAAATGAAAAAAACTGTGGAAAAAAGCGCCCCTAAAAAAGCGTGTTGCGTGTCGACAAATTTGGGTTGAATTGCGATGGATCTCCGTTAGAATGCAAAGAGGAGGAATAGCAGGGGAGGCAGGAAGGAAGGAAGGGTGTTTTTCGGGCTCGGTTCTACCAAGAAGCGCCCATTTTCGGGCCATTGTGTTGATGGAAAAGGAGAAGACTTTCTTTAAAGTGTTTTAATAGCCGAACCCCGGGATTTGAGGACAAAAATCAAGTGTTGGGTAAATTCATTAGTGTCACGAATGCCGAACGAAATGGAAATGTTATTGTGCATTTTTGATAAAATTTAGGGCAAAAAATCGCCCAAATCCCGTCCGATACAAAATGGCAAAACCGTCCATTTTTAGGAGGTTTCTTGAATTTTTTAATCGATAGAGCTATTTTAAATATCGCTTGAATCTTAACCGCGCTCGAACATTCATAGCAACGCAAAATGTCAGCAAATGGCCTATTTTCCGGTTAGAGGCGTTTTATTCTTTTTCCATATTGCGTGACTGCTTACTTATCTCCTACTTCAAATTCCCGAACAATCCAAGCGAGCGCTAATTGGCTTGGTGGTGTGAGTGTGGGGCCAAGTTCCGGGACGTCATGCCCCCGACCCGAGTCGAGGGTATCAAAATCCGATCCCCCAAGCGTCTGGTCACGCTCAAAAGCTTGCGCCAACAGCTAGGTTAGCTGCGTCTATTGGGGACACGTGCGTATGTAAGGTTTTTGGGGTTGAGGGACGGGATGTGAAGAAACAAAATCAGCTTCGAAACTTCGGGTTTTAGAGCTACATGACTTGATTAGCGTAAAGCTTCCTGCGCTCCGAAATAAATTTTTTTGGGAATTTTCGATTATATTACTGTGTATCTAAAACGCATTTCCTCGAAAAGGTTCTACAGTAACCGTGGAAACAACAAGATGTTTTTATGAAGATTAAACTTGGAAGTTTTTCGCAGAATGTGCATCAAAATCCCCGACTTCCGGCCTCACTACAAGTTGTAGATGTTTTTCCAGATCAAATAAACTTTTGCAAAAGTGAAATCATTATCTCTAGACACGTACCATTAACCGGAGGACCCTCAACGGTGCTTCATTACCATCCTGGCCGTCTATTTCCGGTTGCTGCTCGTCGAGGGCTGAAGAAAAACTAGTATGATCGGAAGGAAAATTTTACTTTCACCAATTTCCAACTTTGAAAACTTTTCATAAGGTATGAAAACCCTTGAAATACCTGCAGACGTGTATTTCTTAAATTCCGCCACGCTCCTTGGTACACACAGCGTACTAAAAACACCAATTTCCGCCTAAAAGCCCCCGATTTGGGCAAAATCGACCGAGCCAAACCCGTCTAAAAAACTCGTGCGTTGTGCTGTGGCTGTGTGTTGACTCCAATTTAGGAAATTACACGGAAATGGTCGGTATCCGCCCCGGGGAATT